TGGATGGGTGTTCATCTATAATTCCTGTTTGCAAATTCTCTGTAATGTGTAGCCAAATGAGCCAACTATACTCCCTTTCTAACTCAAATATCCAGGTTTATCATGGTTGATCTTGAAGTCCAACCTGTCCATAAAAATATTTGCCCCTCCTTACATGTCTTCCAATTTATGCCTGGCTTGCCCCCTCCTGACTTTCTGTGTTACCCCTGCAGTAATCCTTAGCTGAGCCTCACACTGTCCTTGAGAACTGGCCTTGGACATGAGCCCTGTCCTCTCTTTAGCAATTAGTTCCAAGCTTGTTACATATTATTCTTCTTTTAAATATTCATGTTCCAACAGACACTAAACTCTAACTTGGAACAATATTTCACCAAAACCCCAAGTTCTAAGGAAAGAAGTGCAATCTTGGAATAGAAGCAAAGAAATTTGTGGCTCATGGTCCCCAAACTCTCTTCAAGAACCCCTACCATCTGTTTGCATTCCTCCCCCAGTCTAGCTTCCAGTTCACGCCACCTCCTTCTCCCACAATCACCTGAGGTCCCCCAAGGGATTAACTGTCCTCAAAATCAAGGACCATCTGCCTTTGGATGTCAAGAGGAGAATCTCTTCTCTCTCTCAGAGTACCATCTCTTTCCTTCATGTACTTTGAGGCTAAGAATCAACTTTTTCCCACGTAGACTGAAAATGGAAATATTTTTTCCACCAGAGAAAACTCCTCCACCCAATAGAAAAATTACCTTAGAAAATAATAGTCAGTAACAGTCTATGTGTTGAGTTATTCTGCAGAAGTAACCCTGTGTAAGACATACCAAGTGCCTGTCGGAGATGTGGTTCTATGGATGCTCTTCTCTCCTCAGTCCTCGGGTCTCGGTCTGGAGTTCTGGAAAACAACTCTACACACAAACTTGCACACACAGAGCTATAAGAATAGGCAACAGCTTATAGAAAAGTACCCTTAAAATCAGACAGGCCTAAAAACCCTAGAATATACACACCCTCCCCGCCAGACAAGTATGTCTCCGAGACAGAAGTTTGGCTCATTCTTGCACCAAAATTTATGCTATCAAATAGAACACTTAACTTCTCAGTCTAAAACATCTGTGTTCGGGTTAATACTGACTCCACATTTCCCTCTAGAACAGTGGGTGAATATTTGATTTACATTTTTGTAAATAAATGGCAGACTCAAGTGGTTTTCCCAGACCAAAAGCAACAATTTGCCTCTGAGGTAAATTCATGTCCCTACCCTTAGAGACTGGAAATTGCTTGCAGCTTTAAACATTTTCCCTTTTTTCCCAGCTACTAAAGATCAAGTTTCTAACAATATCTTGGGGCCAGTGCCAGCTAGGGTAACCCACTGCTTGTCTGTAGAATTATGAGACACGGTTATTTTGGGGTCTCTGAATACACGATCCTATATACCCCTGGGTCTCACGTGGTGACCCAAGCAAGTAGCATCACCTGGGAACTTGTAAGATGTGTGAATTTGGGGGTTTTATCCCAGTCCACTAAATGAGAAACTCTGGATATGGGGCCCAGTGGTGTATATTTCAGCAAGCCAAAAAGAAAATCTGATCACTGATACACACCAACCGTAGCAAATGATTCAGTGGGCAGGTTCGCTGGGAAGATACAATATTCTCCAGGTATCCATGGACTGGGTTGAGAGGATCTCTGCCCAGCGCCCCAGATATCCCAATGTGCAAAAAAAGATGCTTGATTTTTTTTTTCTGTGCCAAAAGATTTTAGGAAGTTCATTAACTATTTGAATGAGCAAATCATGCAAAAAGGAAACATGAACTGAACAGAATCCCCAGATCAAGAAAAAGCAAGATGAGAATGATTGAGAGTATTATAGGGAAAGAGGACAAGGGATGACAGGAAGGATGTGGTCTCCACCCGTGCCCTGGGAGAACTGCTTTGCTTAAGCTGGCTGCGGCCCCTGCCCCTCCCCCATTGCCCAAAGCAGATGGATAGCAAACCAATTCCTTAGGTATCTGTTCTGTTCTCCCCTTCCTCTTTGATGGCATGGATCTAGGAAAGCTTTAGAACTACCTAGAAATCTCAATTTAGACAAATGAGGCATAAGGAAAGTCTCCTGACCTAGCCTCCCCAGGAAGCTTGAGCACTGGACTCCCCAGTTTCACCCAGAACCGTCTAGAGGTCCTGAGCCTGGACTGAGTTTCCCCCTGCTCTGTCCCCAGACTTTGCAACCTCTACACTGAAAATAACAGGGTTGGCCCAGGGATACTGTCTCCAGATTCCAAGGGTAATCTCCACTGAGCAGGCCGTAGAGTCAGGGATGGGAGCACAATCCAGGCTAAAGGCATAGAAAGGTCTAGTTAGTTTAATGTGCAACTATTAAATATTTAGTCATGTCTGCATTCATGATCTTATCCCAGGCTCTGATATATGAAAGACAGGCCTAGAATTTATTTCAAAATTAAAATTCAGCTCACTTGAGTAGGTAGTGAGCATCCACCCTAGGTAAAGAACAGTGCTGCGCTTCATGGTACACAGGGAGATGAGCTGAGTCTGTGTGTGCACAGGTCTTTGCTACCTAGCAATGAAGGGTATAGATGTGCAAAGATAATTACCACACTTACGTCATAACGGCTCCAAGAAAGCTATAGCAGAGAAAGTCCTATGGGAAAACCACAAAGGGAAGGGATTTTTTGACCTTGAAAAACAGAAAAAGGCTCTTGGGAATATATGGCATTGTAGTAGATCTTCATGCTGCTTGCCAATCTAAACTTTCCTCTAGTCTCTGGGGCCACCTTGGGAGTTCCTGTCTGTTCTTGACAGAAAGTAGTAAGTAGTAAATTGGCTTCTCAAACCTAACGCTTTTCCCTAGACCTAGGAATCCATCTCAGACTCCAGAGAGGAGTTTGGAAGGCACGGCCAAGTGTGGAGTGCTCCCATTCTGGTCATTACCACGTTTTTCTGTGTCTCTCTGCTGGTAGAAAAAGGAAATTACTCTCCCATGCTATTTTTAACATAAAAATCATCTCCCTGGAATGGCTTTATCATATGCAAACCTCACCTTATAAACAAAAAACTTTCCTCACAAAGCATTCTCATCTGAATCTGTCTGGGAGACTAAAATCTTGTTCCCACACTCAGGAGCCATAAACCAAATGAACTAACTCAGAGGTCAGAAGAAGCCTGTAGTCTGTAGTCTGGACATCAAATCTGGCTCCACCACCTTTTTTTTTTTTTTAATAAAAATCTACTGCAACATATGCTTTCAAAGTGGCAGAGTTGATGGTTGCCACAGATACTGCTTGTCCCACAAAGTCTAAAATACTTGCAAAAATCTTTGTTCACCTCTCACTCGAAGTCAGCCAATAAGCAGAATGAAAATGGTTTCAAATCCTTATCAAATGCCAGTCTCCGCCCCAATCAATTTTGCTTATGGATCAGGGTTGAAGAATTTCATCACTTTAAATAAATGAAAGCCAGAAACTGAAACAGAAAGCAGAGAGCATCAAAGTTCTAGAAGAAAACAGAATTCCCCACAAACAGTTCAAATGCAGAGATTTTAGTGAAAGGACCACTTCCAGAGGTATGGACAAATTTAAAGATTTGAGCAAGGGATATTGGGACAGGGAACAGAGAACTGTCACCACCCCTGGGACAGAAGGAAGAGAGCAGGAAATACATGTTATTGAGACAAGGAGGAAGGTCACCCTAAAGGAGCTGTGGTCATGGAGAGTCAGTTTCTAAGCCAGTAGAAAGCTTCTAAGCCAGGAGAAGAAACATCCCAACTCTTCCTCTGTCCTCCCATGTCCTCCTGGTGGCCCCACTGCAGACTGATCTGAATCAGAGATCAGAGAACACTGGGACCAGTCGGTCTAGGATGGTCCACCTTCTGGGACCAAGAAGAGCAGATCCCCTGCGGGGGAGGGTAACCAGACAACATACGGACCCCCAAAACAATATAAGTGAAGTGTAATTGTATATTGGTTAGGATTTCTATTTCAAGAGCAGAAACCCAACTCAAACTGACTTGTATAATGAGAAAATATATTAACTCACATGACAGGGAGACAGGTAAAGAACTTGGACTGATATGGTAGTTCTTGAATACCATCAAAGAGATCTAGGTGTTTGCATCCCCTCATCTAGATATTGATGAGGGCAACTTCATTCTGAGTTTGGTTTAGTTACAGTAAAGAACATATGCATCTTTGATCTGGGGACTGTTAGGTAAGAATGGGGACCAGGAGGCAACACGGTATCTGAGGGTTGGTTTTCCATTCCTGGCAGCGTAGAAGCTGTGCTTGTGCCCCATTTTAACTGTATGTGTATGTGTGATTCTCTCTGATTCTTTAAACTTTTCTGAATTCTCCTCATACTTCTTTGACCCTGATTGGCTTACGCCTGACAATTCCAGAAGCAATCACCAGCCAGAGGGATAAATTACTAGTTGTTATGGTTTGAGTCTGAACTGTTCCATAAAAGCTCATGTGTTAAAGGCCCGGTCCCCAAGGCAGCAATTTTCAGAGGTGGAGCCTTTGCGAGGTGATTGGATCATGAGAGTGTTGACCTCTTCAATGGATTAAACCATTGATGTATTAATAGTTTAATGGGCTAATGGGAGAAGGTGGAAACTAGTTTGAGGAAGTAGATCCTTGGAGGCATGCCCTTGAAGGGTGTACTGGAATCTTGGGCCTTTCCTCTCTCTCTTTGCTTCCTGGGCACCTTGAGGTGCGAAGCTTTGCTCTAACATACACTCCCTGCCACAATGTTCTGCCTCAAGACAGGTCTAGAAACAACAGAGGTAAGTGATCATGGACTGAAACCTCTAATACCATGAGCCAAAATAAATCCTTTCCCCTTTAAGTTGTTTTTCTCAGGCTTTTTGTTGCAGCAACAGAAAGCTGTCTAACACACTAGTGTGTACTAGTGGGGTGGATGGAGATGTGGGTGTTGGGGAATATCAACCAAACATCTACTACAGAATGATAGTAATATAACATATTATCTTCTTCTTTCAGGTGTGTTTCCATCTGTCCACATCTTATGGTCTGCAGGAATTCACTACTCAGATCTTCATCTGACATGTGAGGCTCCTCTGAGAACGGGGTAGTCCATGCTGTGCCATGAGGGTAATGACTCTTATTCAGAATTAGAACATACTTCCTCATCCAAACAGTTCATATGACCACCCAAAAGCCAAAACATAACTTGTAGGGGAAAAGTAAAGAAGTTACCAAACCTAATTAAAATTCTAATTAGACTTCTCCCAATGTTTTGGTAAGTCGCCCATCCCTGTGGTTTAACTTCCTTCTGCATAGTTAAGATACAGGATGGCTGTAACCCCACAGAAAGAGAAATTACATAATGTGGGCTCAGAGGGTTTAAAAGCTGAAATTAATTTGAAGGCCTTTTAAGAGGTGCTAGGTGTTTTTCACACTTTTCCCCCACACCTGGTAGATGTTGATTCCCATCGGTGAAATGTCCATTTGCTCTTTGATTGATGGTTTTACATAGATGCTGTAAGGCAAATTTAGATTTGCCCTCATTTAGATTTCCCACTTTATCATGGGTACTTCTTTCCTACTTAATTAATTCATCTTTCCAGAAGTGGCCTGAGATTTTAATCTAGTTTATACAGGAAAGTGTGAACAAAAGAGGTTACCCATTATCCCAGAAGTTAAGACACTGAGCAGAGGCACTCTGCAAGTAGACCATGATTAGGATGCTTGGCAGTTGCTTGGCAATTGTACTTGATTTCCTGAGATCAGTACCCATCAGAAAGGCAAAGATCCCTGCTATGCAACAAAATGCCCATTAAATATATTATCAGCTAACTGGTTCACGTTTCATTGAAATTGGGAAACTCTTCGTTTTTCCTACATATTTCTAGTACTTGGCTGAGCTAACAAAATTCTTGACCCTGGCTTGTGGAGCAAAATAGATTCCCTACTTACCTGAGGATTTTTTTAAAAACAAAATACTCATTATATAGACAGGCACAATGGCAAAGCCTCATGGTTGCTGGAATATCCATCTCTAGTAGAATGCAAAGCACACAAATATTTCTTAGTACCTCAGAAACTAAAGTCCTAGCCAGTAGAAATAAGCCAGGACCTCATCTCCTTTATTTTTTAAATCCAAAATTCCCCATGCTACACCCAGGCACATGTTTATAGTTTCCAAGTTATTACTCTTGCAAAAAAAAAATTAATCTAAAACTTTGACAAACTACAGCACTTTTATGGGTTTCCATAGTGGCTTTTCTATACTGCAGTAAATTCACTATGAAAATTGTTATTATATTAATCATTAGTGACTCATTGAAAATTATAGTTTGGGATCTCTTATTTTTAAAAAGATCCAATTTCATTTGTATCATTGCCCAAGTTTATTTTTTAACTTAAAATTCACATCACAATTCAGAATAGGAAATGCCACCGGAAAGTTGTTTTTCAAACCAAGAATTTTGTTTCCAAAAAGAGAGAATGAGAGAACAAATAAACATGATAATGCCAATAATTAAGTGTTACGTGATTTTTATAACCAAGCAGTTTATTACAACAGCTTTTGTGGGTGGTACAAAATATTTGAACAGGTTTTCAAACCAGTTGGCGATTTATGAAATATTAGTGATTGTTATTACAGGTTGAGTTTTATGATCCGTGGTTGATTTATTTGTATGGAACTCAAAAGGACACATACCAGGCTATTACTCTGCTTTGAAAATACTGCTTAGTACCTAGTTCACCTTTGAACCACTTCTTAGGGTACTTTAGGACTCCAAGAGGCAGAAGCTATCTGAGAAAGCAAATGGGTTTCAAGGAAGAAGGAAAGGTATGTGAAATGTTCTTGCAAAGTTAGTTGAATATCTATTAACTATAAAAGTAATATAAAATAATATCTAGTCTATATAAAGGAGAAAACCCAGGTGAATACATTTATGTTAATTTAGGAGTACCTTACACAACTGACCCCCCAAAACACTTTCATCAAATAAAAACCAACTCACAACTAATGCTAAAAGAGTCTGGAACTCACAAATAGATGAGCTTCACAGTTTTCCCCTTCTTAAGTAATACTACCAGAAAAGTAGATGAAGAGATGAACCATAGAATACTCAAAATTAATTGGTTACTTAATCAAATACATTGTTGTTGCCACAATAAGCAATGAATACAAATATCTTCAGTAATTCATACTATTACCAAGTCTAAAATTTAGGAAAAATGTTTGTTTCAAAAATTATATTTAAACAAGGACATAAATTTAAATTTGTTGACCACCTTCAACTGGAAATCATAAAAAAAAAAAAAAAAAAAAAAGAATGACACAATTTCTTGGTCCCAGTAATTTTTTTTTAAAAGACTGCCCTAATCTGAAGCAGACAAGTCAATTTGCATCTTGTCCATGACTATCATCCCCATCTCTAACAAATATTTTTTAGCAATATTATAGAATGACTGAACAAGTAAATATAAGACTGAAAGTACTCAAGAGTTCTACCTCTCCTTTCTTAATAACTGTAGCATATTGCAAGATTTACTGATACATCACTCCAGTGCAATCCAAGGATCCTATTTTCCTTCAAAGTAACTGTATAGTATGATTCCACAGGACTGGAATGGTAGGCTTGGGTTTGCAACATTAGCATCCAGGAACCTATTCTTTCTGCTTATTTTGTCTTAAACAAGCAAAGGAACAAAAAACTTAATTATATAAAGTACAAAAGTAGTCTTGTGATTCATACAGCTAGCATTTGAGAGACAAATAAAATCTTGTTTGTTTGTTTGTTTGTTTCCTTCAGTGACTAAAGCAAAAACCCAGGGCCTTACACTTCTATTAGTGATTATTATAACAGGTTGAGTTACACCTGCAAGGCAAGTATTCTTCTACTGAGCTACACCCCCAGCCCATATAATCTCTTTTCTATGCAACTGTCTTTTGATTTTAACAAGTGTAAAAGTATTTATTCAGATAATTTTTAAGTGTTAAGCTCATAACTGTATTCTTCAATAGCACATAACATTTTTCACAGAAATATTTCATTGATTTATAATGAAATTTATCAGTGTTTCCTTTTTTAGTATGTGACACTTTCAAAAAATCTGTCCCTTAGTGAGAATAGATGGAAATGCTCTTCCAGTAGTATTGTAATTTCCTTATTTACATTTACTTTTGAATTTGATTTGTATTTATTTTAATGTAAGGAAAGGGACAAAAATCAATTGTCATATTTCTTAAGTAATTATTCAAATGTCTTCAAATCATTTATTTTAAAAAACATATTTGGGCTACAGTTGTGGCTCAGTGGTAGAGTGCTTGCCTAGCAAATGTGAAGCACTGGGTTTTATTCCTAGCACCATGTATAAATAAATAAAGGTCCATTGACTACTAAAAAATATTTTAAAAAAAATATATTTATTCACTGATACACACTAATAGCTTTTTTATTCTAAATCCCCATATTTCTTTGGGTAAGATTCTGGGATGTCTATGCAATTTTGTTGATCTAGTTGTTTATTTATAGTCTCACAGCATGCTATTTTAATTACTATAGACCTATATAGTTAACATAGTTATAATTCTGTAGTTATTCTTTCTCTTTGGTTTTTATAGATAATTCTTTTGCAGTTATTTTTCTTATAAACTTGAAAATAATTTTATATAGTTCTAAAAGTATTGCAGTAGTACTTTTACTAGGCTCATGATACATTTGTAGTTTGATTGTAGGGGAATTGGCCTCATCAGAATGTTGAGTCTTCTCATCTGAGAATAGGATATGCCTTTCCAAGTTTTCAATTTTATCTTTATGTATCTCAGTGATTTAAAGTTTCTTCACATAGATTTTACACAATTCTTGCTTTTTTCCTAGGCATTTCATCTTTTCTGTTGCCACTACATCTTTTTCTACTAAACTCAAGAACACTAAGCAATTGCAACTAAAAACAAACCTAATACTTCTAATTAAGTTTGATGTGTGGTAACCCTTCCTGTGCAAATTTGTACCAGATACCCAGAAAGCCACAGGGATCTCAGCATCTGGACAAGATAACAACAATAAAATAAAAGGGATTTAAACAATGATCCTCCACTCTCCCATCCTTTTGTGTTTCACCAAATTTATTAGAAGAAAGTGGGAGTTGCAGTCAGAATAATATTTTATTATTGTGGCTTGTTGTATTCATAGAATAACTACTCTTGATAGTAATTGAGTATTTTGCATACAAGCTCTTTTCATAGTGTGGAATCCTCAATTTCATTTTTGTCAATGTTGTTGTTTTTTATAAAGTTCTGCAGTAAAGAATCTCCTTTGTCTCCTGGGATAGACCAATGTTAACCCATCTCACTACCAACTAGCAATTAATTTAATTAAGAGTTTTAACTTCTGAAGTGATTGGTTAAGTGGTAAGCCACAACCATAGAACTCACTGCAATTTTAGAGAATGCTGTTTTACCCAGACATACTTCTTCCCTTATTAGTCAACATTAAATTTTCATCATATTGAAAACAAATACTACTAAGAGAAGCAACAGACTTATGAATATCGGTCTTAGATCTTGTCAACTTGCTGAATTCACCTATTTCTAAGTAATTTATCCATGGATGCATTTATGTTTTCTTACATAGACAATACTATCCTCTGAAATAATGACATTTTTTTATGCCCATTTTCCCAAACTTGAAGTCTTTAATATCTTTTCTTGGGTCATTTTGTAGGCTAGGATCTCCAACACAATTTTGACTAGACTAGAGACAGAAGCAATCTTGTCTACTACTTAATTTTAAAGGGATGATTACATTTCAACAGTTCCTCAAAAAATACATTGAAAATATTTTTTAAAAGATAACATCTATAATTTTTATGTAGGCAAAAGAAATAATCAATAGAAAGTGAACAAAATGCAAATTATTTGTATTAAGCAGTATTTCTCTTAAGTTCAGAGTATTTCTGTTCCATAAGATATAAGGTAGCATTGTTCAAAAGTTCACCAATGTAGCTTGATGAAAACTGGGAACGATTCTGTGCAAATTTGTACCAGGTATCCAGAAAGGGACATTGAAATTTTCTTTAAATAACAATAAAAGCTAATATCTCTTCTGAAAGACAGTAAATAGTTGCATTTATTTTATTTTTGTTCACTTAAATTTCTAAATATAGTCATGGGGCTTTATTTAAGGTGCAAAAAGTAAATCTTTCTATCTGTGCAGGTGTTCAGTGCAGGTGTTCAGTGCCAGCCAGACCATTAACTTCAAATGATAGTCCTTGGGCTGGCTCCCTCAAAATCACTTAGGGAATTTTTTAAACCTTAGATTATAAGTCCCCACCCACAAAACCTTTGAGTTGAAATCTCTCTGTTGAAATCAGAAAATCTGTTTTTATGGTTCCCAAGGTTTTGGGAAAGCATACAAGTTTTAGGACCAAAATTCAATTATTTCCATTTTTTTTAAAATTAATTTAGACTTTGAATGGAACTAGTCTAAATTGCACTTAATGGGTCTTATATTCTAATATTCTGTGTTTTTCAAAAAATGTTAAATAATTAGCACATTATGGTATCATAT